CAGGGGGGTGTGGGAACACAGGGGGTGATGGGACCCCAATGGGATGTGGGGCCTTCAGGGGATGTGGGAACCCAATGGGATGTGAGACCCCTTGGGATGTGGGGCCTCCAGGGGATGCAGGACCCCAATGGGATGTGGGAACCCAAGGGATGTGGGACCCCATAGGATGCGGGAACCCAACAGGGTGTGGGAACACAGGGGGTGGTGGGACCCCAATGGGATGTGGGGCCACGAGAGGATGTGGGAACCCAATGGGATGTGGGACCCCAATGGGACGTGGGGCCTCCAGGGGATGTGGGAACCCAATGGGTTGCGGGACCCCAAAGGATGTGGGAACCCCATGGGATGTGGGGCCACAAGGGGATTTGGGAACCCAATGGGGTGTGGGAACTCAATGGGATGTGGGAACACAGGGGGTGATGGGACCCCAACGGGATGTGGGGCCTCCAGGGGATGTGGGAACCCAATGGGATGTGAGACCCCAATGGGATGTGGGAACCCATGGGATGTGGGGCCTCCAGGGGATGTGGGAAGACAGGGGGTGGTGGGACCCCAATGGGATGTGGGGCCTCCAGGGGATGTGGGAACCCAACGGGATGTGGGACCCCAAGGGATGTGAGACCCATGGGGGATGCAGGAACCCAACAGGATGTGGGAACCCAATGGGATGTGGGAACTCAATGGGATGTGGGGCTTCCAGGTGATGTGGGAACCCAAGGGATGTGAGACCCCAATGGGATGTGGGACCCCATAGGATGCGGGAACCCAACAGGGTGTGGGAACCTAACAGGGTGTGGGAACACAGGGGGTGGTGGGACCCCAACGGGATGTGGGGCCTCCAGGGGATGTGGGAACCCAATGGGATGCAGGAACTCAATGGGGTGTGGGACCCCTGGGGAATGTGGGACCCCAATGGGATTAGGGAACCCATAGGATTAGGAAACCCAATGCAATGTGGAACCCCATGGGATGTGGGACCCCCAGGAGATGTGGGAACCCAATAGGATGCTGGAACTCAATGGGATGTGGGACCCCAAGGGATATGGGAACCCACTGGGATGAGGGAATCCAATGGGATGTGGGACGCCATGGGATGTGGGACCCCTGGGGGATGTGGAAACCCATTGGGATGTGGAACCCCATGTAATGTGGGACCCCCAGGAGATGTAGGACCCAATGGGATGCTGGAACTCAATGGGATGTGGGACCCCACGGGATGTGGGACCCAGTGGGACGTGGGGCCCCTTGATTTCATTGCAGGATCCCACGGGTTGAGGGAAGTTTGAGGGACTCCCATGGGATCCGAGACTCGGCACGCAGCGGATTTGGGGGCGCCTTCCTACCGATGACGTCCCTGGCCTGACCGATGACTTCGTGGGCGTAGAAGGCAGGGAAGATGCCCCTCTCTCCCGTCCTCATGTTGTAGCCGCGGTACCAGTAGTCGTCCTCCTCCAGCTCCACCAGGATGGGGTCGTCCACGTCCAGCTCCAGCTCGTCCTCATGGCGCGGGATGAACCTGCGCGGGTGGGCGGGCGGGAGGAGAGACCCCCCCCCTCTTTGCCCCGTGGCCTTGGGGTGGGGAAGGGCCGGAGGGGGACGCGGCCGTGCGGCGCTCACCTGAACACGGCGCGGTGCGTCTGCTCGCGCTCCTCTCCGTTCACCATGCAGGAGAACAGCCCGAAGGATTCCGTGCCTGGGGGACAGGTAGGAGGAGGGAGAGTCATCTAGGGGGCGAAGACCCCCAGCACAACACGTGGCCCCATAGGGAGAAACCCCCGCTGACCCACAGCCCCTCAGCAGCACCATGGCTGCCCTTCGCCGTCGACGGCATGGAGATGGCAGAGGGCAGCCAGACGTGGCCAGCATGCAGGACAGCACGGCGCTGCACAGTGAATCAGAGCCCAGCAGGGCACGGCGTGGCACGGCGCAGTGCAGCAAGGCAACATTTGGCACAGAACAGCACAGCACAGCACGGCATGGCATGATGCAGTCACTCACTGGAGGAGCGGGAGGTGCTGTTGACGAAGACGTTGAGGAACTTTTTGGAGAACTGCAGGTCGGCCTCGGGGGAGGAGTCCTCGGAGGAGCTGTGCACGTCGGGGGCCGCCAGCCCGTCGCCGAAGGCCGCCTCGTCCTCCTCCAGCTCGCAGCGCTCGCAGGCCCGCAGCAGGTCGCTGTCGTCGCTCAGCACTGATGTGCAGCGCCGCAGGCTCACCAGCTCCAGCTGCGTGTGCTCGTCCACCACCAGCGTGTACTTCACCGCGTCGTAGGCCAGCGACTCGTCCCGCGGCTCCAGCGCCTCCAGGGCGGGCGGCAGCTCCTCGGGGAACAGCGATCCCCGCAGGTGGGGCGCAGCGTCCTCTTCTGTCCCGTAGGCCGCGGCAAAGCAGCGGTTGGTCTTGGCCGTGGAGACGTCCGTGGCGGTGGAGTCCCGTCCCCCCGGCTGTAACCGGACGGCGTCGATCAGATCGCCGGCCTCCGGGACGCCCGAGCGCGGGCTCCGCTCCGCGGCGCTGTCCGCGGTGCTGAAGGCGCTGTCCGCGGTGCTGAAGGAGCCGTCCGCGGTGCTGAAGGAGCCGTCCGCGGTGCTGACGGGACCGCGGCGGCCGATGGCGGCGGTTTCCCCGCTGCCGCCCAACCGCTCGATGGAGACGGGGCGCCCCGCGAAGACGGGAGCGATGGTGTCGTGGGTCGGGTTGCTCAGGAAGAGGAACGGCCCCGGCTCTTCAGCGTTTTGCTCCGACGGCGGCTCCGTTCCGGCCCCCAGCGCCCGCTGGTCCTCAGCGCGCTGCAGGGAGCTGCGCAGCGTCTCCATGTCCACCAGCTCGATGGGGCGCGGGGTGCGGGGCAGCCCCTCGGGGCCGGGGGGCTCGGCATCCAGTGCCTCGCTCAGCTCGGGCTCCAGGTCGGACGCTGGAGATATGGTGTCGCAGAGCGAGTGTTGCTGCTGGAAGCATTCGTCGGGGCACTTGATGGGGTAGGAGCCCTCCGAGATCATCTTGTTCACCAGGTTGCTGAGCAGCCACGGCGAGTCCGAGTCCTCGCTCAGGTCGGGCTCCGACTCCGAGTCAGAGTCGTACTCGCTGTTGTCGTCGTCGTCAGCCGCAGGCAGCAGCGGGGGCCCCACGGGCAAGTAGAAAGAGCGCCGCACGCTCTCCAGGCCGTGGTCGGGGTCGAGCTCCAAGTGCAGGGCGCCGGGGGAGGGCACGTCGGTGTGCTCGGGGGGCACCGAGGGGTCGGTGGGGTTCAGGCTGTCGTAGTACCCCTCCGTCTTCAGCTCAGCCGGGCTGCCCCGCTGCTCCAGCGCCTCCTGCTCCTCCCTGCCCGCGTCCCGCAGCAGCGCGCCCTTGATGCCCATCACGCCGGGCGCCTCCAGCTCTGGCTCCAGCTCTCCCTCCGAGCCAGGCGAGCTCGCCTCTTCGATGGAGTTGGTGAGGTGCGAGGAGCGGCCGCTGCTGCTGGCACTGCTCAGGTCCAGCTCCGTCTCCGAGATGGAGGAGATCATGTTGCTGAGCAGGCGCCCTCCGAAGGCCTCCATCTCCCCCTCCACGTCCGAGTCGGAGCCGGGCGAGCTCAGGCCCTGGTGCCGGGTGCCGGGCGGGAAGCCCTTGGCGGTGCGCCGGGTCATGTCGGCCTCGATGCCGGGGTCGGAGGACGGCGACGTGGTCTCGGAGGAGCCGGCGGGGCGGCTGCGTGCGCTGCCGGGAGGCCCCTCTCCATCGGAGCTCGGCGGCTCCGTGCGGGACCCCAATCCCTCGCCGTGCCCGGCGTGACCCCCGGCCGAAGGCTGCTCGTGGGGCGCGGGGACGCCGTGCTGGGCGCGAGGGGAACCCGGGCTGCCGATCCCCGGCTCGGGGCTGCGGCGCTGCGGAGCCGCGCAGGCGGGGGCTGCGATCCCGGCCGGAAACGGGCGCTGCTCGGCGGTCGGCGGTCGGCGCGGGGGGGGATGCGGCGGCGGCGCAGAGCAGACGACGTTCCTGTTCACGTCCTCCCCGGAGCGCTCGGGCGAGGGCTCACCGTGAGCCGCCGGCGTGCGGCTGTTGCCGTGCGAGTCGAAGTGGGGAGGCGGCGGCGGCGGCGGCGGAGGGGCGGGCGCCTGCGTGCCCCCCCCCGGGCTCAGCCCCGCAGCGCACGGCGCGTCCTGGAGGCAGGCGTGGGGCGAGGAGCGGCCTGCGGAGCACAGCGGATGCCACGCAGAGTCAGCGCCCACCCGAAGCCCACCCGCACGTCCCCCCTCTCCCTCCCATCCCACACAAAGGCAAAGGAGCCGCGGCCCGGGACCCCGGCCCTGCACGCGGCATATGGTGAAGCCCCCAGACCCGCGGTGAACCACCCGGAGCCCCTCAACCCCCCACGGGTCCTCCGACCCTACGGCAAGCCCCCAGCCCCATCTTGGAAGGTTCCGGCCACGGAACCCCCCTCACCCCCCT